ACATTCATCCCTGTTCCCATAGATCATACTCAATGACATAAAAAAGGCTGAAATCCGCAAAAAATTGACAAACCGAACAACATAGACGATAACAAGAATCGAGATGACAAAAAAATAATAACTAATAGGAAAACTTTCACGGACTCTATCACCTCGTGCAACCCATGGCGGTGGTTCCGGAGGGGGCCGTATACTTGGTACCATTCTAATTGACCCTTCATTGTCAATCATCATCTCATTTGCTCGAAAGTCACACAATTCTCCTCGTCCCGCTCTCTTAGCAAATCCACCGCCATCGGTCATCTTCATCGCTGCCATGCCCTTCCTACCCAAACTCATCCCCCCCCCCCCAAAAAAAAAAGAGAACCAATCGGATCCGCCCACTGCACACCAACAATCCTATCCGGAATCCGAGCGTTTGGAAGACAAAATCTGGCTAAAGTGCAAAGCAGTGCTAAACTGTTCGAAAGCAGCCCTGCGTCGACCTAAACATCCAAGACTTGGGAAGGTTATTGAAGAGATTGTACGCCAACCGAAGAAAAGCAACCGGCCGAAGCCGCCGGAACCCACGACCTGAGGAGGTCGCCGCCGGAGAAAGAGCTAAGCGTTGCGTGAGGCAACCCTAGAGAGAGACGAGAGCTCTATACTCGGTATTTAGCTTAGTCTAATTTTATATATATATATATATATATATATATATATATATATATATATATATAATACTCCGTATAATATATATATATATATATATATATATATATAGAGGGCTCTTCTCATCAGGCCGGCCTGACGGGCTGCCCCGTCCGGCCGAGCCCGTTTGGGCACCTTCCCGGTGGAATTTTGTGATGAAATTTTTTGAGCATGTTCCTTATCAAGTCTAGTTTGTCCATACCAAATTTCAGCTCAAAACTCGATCGGGAAGGTCGTCAAATGATTTTTTCAAGTTAACTGGTCCGGAAAATGCAGCCCGTCAGGCCGGCCTGACATGAAGTTTCCTCTATATATATATATATATATATATATATATATATAGTACATTTTTATTTTTTTTATTTTTTATTTTTACAAAGCACTCCTCGTACCAAAAATGAGAACTAACAACAGCTACTTATAACAAATTCTTATCCCAAACCAATCGTGTGAATACAATGTTGTGATTACGGAATATGAATTCTAGAAGAAGTACATATTTTACGTAGCATGTAGGGGTTAAACATTCAAAATCCCGGCAAGACTGAGAGGTCTACAATTCCAAGAGGTAGTTCTGCAATTTTCTTGAGCATGGCAAGCCTATTGTTTCTTATTCTTTCATCTTCCACCATTACAAACACGTGATTAAAGAAATTCTCTATCGGCTCTACAAGTGCTAAGGAGGCTTCAAAAAAATCATCCACTTCGATTTCAGCATGCACTTTGCTTCTTAATGATAGAAAAGTGTTCCACAGACGATGCTCTTCATTTGCTTCAAAAGCTGTATCGTCCACCTCCACATCAGCGTTTACATCCTTTCCACGCACAATTCTTGTTGGGCGAGAATATGCTTCCACAACCTTTCGCAGGACCCCATCTGACAAGTATTGCATTTTTTGTGCTGACTTGGTTGCCAAATGAGGCAAGTTTGCACGCTCCACAAGAACAGATCGAACTATTTCAGGGACAATGCCTTTATCCATCAGAAATTGTTCTAATCTTCGTGTAACAAACTGATGTACATCATCAACTGTCCTGGCCTCTACTTTCAGGGGCTGAACAGCAGCAGCAAGTTGCAAAGCTTGTCTTAAATCCATATTTCTGTCGTTCTCTACCAGAAGTTGCACAAGGCCATAAGCAATCCTTCGCAAGCCAAATGGATCATTAGTAGAGCTTGGTTGACAACCAGCAGCAAACAAGCCAACAAGGCTGTCCAACCTGTCAGCAATTGCTAACATTGTCCCGGCGACTGTTTTTGGGGCTAAATCTCCCGAAAACCGTGGAAGAGTGATCTCAAATAAGGCCTCTGCCACCTCCTCTGAATAGCCATCTCTAAGAGCATAGTGACGTGCCATTATCCCTGAGAGGGAGGTCAACTCTGTAACAACTGCTGTAGCTAGATCTGACATTGCCAAAGATGCTGCATCATGGATAACTTCAAGAGTTTCTTCATCTATACCCAGAGACAGACTAACTTCACTAACCAGGTGTTCAACCCGCACCATCTTATCCAGCATTGTTCCCAGCTTCTCATGGAAAAGTATCCCCTTTAGTTGAATTCGAAATTCAGAAAACTTTTTACTTCTATCCAAGTCATAGAAATACTTTGCATCTTCAAACCGAGCTCTGAGTACAGCTTCATTTCCTTTTATCACCGCCGTTTCATTAATTGCTCCATTTGCAACAGCAATGAAGTAAGGCAGCAGATCCCCATTCTCATTAGTCACTGCAAAGTATTTCTGGTGCTTCTGCATGACCATTATCAGTAGTTCTTTAGGAAGCTCTAGGAAGGTGTCCTTAAATTTTCCAAGTACTGGCACAGGTGCCTCAACAAGATTTACAACTTCGTTAAGTAAACCAGTCTGCACGATAGGAAATCCATTTACACTTTTTGCAAGATCATGGGACTGCTCCAATATAAACTTCTTGCGTTGCTCAACATCAACAAAAATCCCAGCATGTTGCATCATATCGCCATACGATGCTGCATCTACTACCTCCACAGTGGCAGAAGGAGTGTTACGTAGACCATGCGACACATTTCCACTCCCTACACCAGCAAATGAAAAGGGTACTACAACGCCTCCATGAAGGGCCAAAATCCAACGAACAGGTCTGCTGAAGAGAACATCAGAGTTCCAACGCATCGACTTCGGGAATGATATCCTGGATATTGCCCCAGGTAGATCTTCAGATAAAACCTCTAGAGCAAGCCGAGCATGTTCCACTACACGTACATAGATATATTCCGTTTTACCTTCAGGCCGTTTGTACATGCACTTTATGGGAACATTGTTTTTACGGCAAAAACCTTCAGCAGCCTTTGTTGGATTTCCTTGGTTATCAAATGCTTTGGAAACTGGAGGTCCACGAACCTCAACACCAACCTCATCTTGCTTAAAATTTAAGTGTTGAACATGAACCACAAGTCTACGTGGTGTGCTATATGTTTGCACTTCTCCGTGAGCCAATCTGAGTTTGTCCAACAACTTAACAATTACATCTTTGAGTTGCTCGCATGCATCAGCTATATCATTGTGGGGCAGCTCTTCTGTCCCGATCTCAAGCACAAACAACTGTGTCTCTTCAGGCACCTGTCCAGCTGCTCCCTTCAGCGTATCTCTTGTAATAACAAGATGGTCAGGGTGAGATATCACACCAAGTGGGTAGCCAAGACTATCCCTTGTCTTTAGCCAGAGTTGAGCACAGTGACGAGCTAAACTACGCATCCTACCAAAATAACGAACTCGTTCTGTCACTCCAACAAAGCCTCTAGAGTCTAGTATATTAAAAACATGGGATGTCTTCAAAACCTGATCATACGCAGGTAACGGTAGGCCTAAATCAAGCATATGTTGAGCTTCAGCTTCGAACAAATCAAAATGTTTTTTAATATGATCAACAGTAGCATGTTTCAGATAGTATGCGCTCATTTCCTTCTCATTTTCCAGGAAAAGCTCTCCATATGTTATCCCATCGGCATACTGAATATTTTTGAAATGATCAACTCCCTGAAGTGACATAAGGATACGCTCAAGGCCGTAAGTAATTTCAATAGATATTGGCTCCAACTGAATACTTCCAGCCTGCTGAAAGTATGTGAATTGGGTAATTTCCATCCCATCCATCCAAACTTCCCAACCCAAACCCCAGGCACCAAGCACTGGGCTCTCCCAGTTGTCCTCAACAAAGCGAATGTCGTGCTCATTAATATTGATTCCTAGGGCTGACAAACTCCGGATGAAAAGGTCCTGCGAGTTTCCAGGATCAGGCTTCAATATAACCTGGAATTGAGTATGCCTTTGAAGCCGATTCGGATTCTCACCATAACGGCTATCATCTGGCCGAATACTAGGTTCCACATAAGCAACATTCCATGGTTCCGGACCTAGAACCCTTAAAAATGTCAGAGGATTCATTGTCCCCGCTCCAACCTCAGTATTGCTGCATTGCATCACAGCACATCCTACAGAAGCCCAATACTCCTGGAGGCGCTGGATTGCTTGTTGAAAAGTGGGGGCCGGTAGCTTACTTCGATTATCAGAATTGGGGCCAGAGTCATAGTCATGGCACGCCGAATGGGTGTTCAAAGCGGAGATACTGTGGATCCGGGAGAAAAAGCGCCGGCGAAGTATGGCCTGTTCGCGGGGCACGGCGGTGATGAAGAAAGAGAAGCGACAATTATGAGGTCTGATTATTGAAGTCAACAAGGGAAGAGCAAGAACAGCCATCACCGGTGAGACGAATCAAACCAATAAACTAAGTATAGACAATTTCACTCTGAGACGTGATAGTATATATACGGCCCTGCTGAGCGCACCCAATTTCACCATCGCTGCACAATTTCATCCTTGTTTAATATTTTTATGCCACTTCTGTGTATAGACAATTTTCCTACTCCGTATTTTATTGTTCATGGGTCATTGGGTTCTAACTATGGATGTTTTCTTTTGGATTGAAATTTGCTGGTCTGGTCTGGTCTGGTCTGTTTAAGTCTGGTCTGGTCTGGTCTGGTCTGGTCTGTTTAAGTCTGGTCTGGTCTGGTCTGGTCTGAACTGGTCTGGTCTGGTCTGGTAAACGTCTGGTCTCTGTGTATTTTATAACTACGGAAGTCTGGTCTGGTCTGGTCTGTTTAAGTCTGGTCTGGTCTGGTCTGTTTAAGTCTGGTCTGGTCTGGTCTGTTTAAGTCTGGTCTGGTCTGGGACTGAAAACAGTCCAAAAGAAAACATTGACATGCTTACTTCGGTGGCTAATAAACATACGTTTATTTGAATATGATGTCTTGCTTAATAAGACAGATATACGTTTACTTCAATATAGTTAAGATATGAGTTAATTGTAAAATATCAAAAATAGCCTTGAAACTTAACTAATACGGAGTAAAAAACCTAGAAGCCTTCGTTTTCGCTGCGGCACACAATCCGTGTATTTCGATTGCAAAGGTACGAATATGGAGTCTGGAACAAATAGTAAGTAAACTCCCATATTCTTAGCTCTATTTTGTAATTCATTATTCTGTGTTTTAGTGGATTTTGAACAAACATGATTCTATTTAGTGTAAAATTTCAATTGAAAGTAGCGTGAATAGGAATTTTTTGCCAGAGAAATCCTTGCAAAGCTGCGTTTTTTCAAAATTTAAATTTTAGACTTTCAACCCCAGCGGAACTCCAAGGCAGTAAAGCGTGAAGCTTGGCTCGACTAAAAGAAGAAGAATAAGAACGACCTAATCTTTTAAAATTTCAATTTTAGACTTTCACTATTATGGTTGCTACTTTTTGTTTATTATCTTTACACACACATATTGATACTACGTAATCAATAAATTTAAAAGTAGCAACCAAACAAGAGTTTTCCAGCCACCAAACATCGATATCTAGATTCAACTCTAGCAATATTTAATAAAATGACTCTCTACCAGGAATAAGATATACAAATGGTTGTAACACTAGTCAAATTCAACCCCTTATTTTACTTATTTATATATTTATTCATTTATTTGCTACAGACTGTAACAGATTGGTATGGTTGTATGAAACTGTAATTTTTTATTTTTACAGAAGGGTCATAAGGAAGAAGTCATTACACTGGTGGTCTAATGTCCAATCATGGTTTTTCAACTATGTACTTTGGATGTGTGTTGTGTTGGTATCAAATAGACGTAGAAGAACACATTCTATTACTTATGTGATAGATAATCACTCCAAAAGGGAAGGGTATTTTAAGAGGTTGGTGTATGGGAATGAAGCAAGTTGCATTTCTGAGTTAATAATGTGTCGTGCAGCATTCTTTAAACTATGTGATATGTTAGTTATGAAAGGTGGATTGAAGCCAACTAGGCACATGATCGTTGAAGAACAAGTAGCTATTTCCCTACTCGTACTATCTCATCACCAGAAAAACAGAACCTTAATAACTGAGTTTCAAAGATCAGGGAGGACTATTAGCAACTGTTTTGCAAATCTCATACATGCAGTGCTAAAACTTCATTCTATTTTGTATGCAAAACCTGATCCAATCACAGACGAATGCAATGATTATAGATGGAACGTATTTGAGGTGTGTATATCATTTAATTTTCTTATTACATTTTTAATACATAGCTATACCGTTGCAGAACTGTGTTGGTGCACTAGACGGGACTTATGTTAAAGTTCATGTGGCCCAAAAGGATCACAATCGTTTCCGTTCCAGAAAAGGAGATATGCCACAAATGTCCTTGGTGTTTGTAACCCACAAATGCAATTTATCTACGTTTTTCCTGGATGGGAGGGGTCAGCTGCGGACAGTAGAGTCTTAAGGGATGCCCTCACTAGAAGATTTCGAGTTCCCCAAGGTGTGCTTTTGCATGTATGTAAGAGTATATATCTGAATCATATATAATTATATGTTTGTGTGTGATTTGTATATCTATATAAATTTATAGGATGCTATTATTTGGTTGATGGAGGTTATGCAAACTGTGAAGGGTTTCTTGCACCCTATCGAGGAAAAAGATATCACTTATCTGAATGGCAAAACAATCATCTTCCTCATAATGCGAAAGAGTTTTTTAATAATATGAATGTGCATTTGGATTACTATGAATGTGATTGAGCGTGCATTTGGATTACTTAAGAATCGATGGGCAATCTTATGAAGTGGGTCGTGGTATTCTATGCCTATGACATGTCGAATAATAGTGCCGTGTGCATTGTTACATAACTTTATTCGACGTGAACATGACATTGATCCTATGGAGGAGGAGGATCTATCAGACGAGGACTCAGACGATCCAGATGATGAGTATGATTCATTTGTTGGAGCTGACTTACGGCCTAGTGAAGCATAAACTACATTTAGAGAAGATTTAGCAACTGAAATGTATGCTTCTTGGATAAATTGAAGTCAAGCATAAAACTTGAAGTTTATTTGAAGTACAATATGAAGTTCATTTAGAAGTGCAAACGTGTATATTTTGTGGAGTAATATTTTGTTACTATCTTTTTGGGAATTCAAACTTCAATATGTCTGTTACTATCTTCTAGTTGATAGATACACTTTATTTATAATTGCATATGCAATTGCAGGTTACGATCTAACAAGTCATTATTTTTATCAATAGCAGACCTGAGAAAAAACAACCTATTTTATTCTACTGATTGCATTTTCTTGATGCAAATTCAGAATCGGCTTTCAACTTTCACTAAAAAGAAACAGACTAAAATTATATTGGGTGCACATGGAATAGCCTTGCAGCCTGCAGGGATGTCTGGATTTTTATTTGTTATTATCATTCTTGTAATCCTTGAATGTTCCCATCAAAGGGTGTCACCCTGGAATGAGCTTCCTGAGGTTGTTGAAGATCACCAGAAATTAGTTTCAATATGGTTGACTTTCCCATTCCGTTTGGACCAACCATTGCAACGGAGCTGTCCAAATGAGTTCCAAAATTTAAGTTCTTGAACAATGGGGCAACCCAGGATATCCAAAAGATGCATCACTGAAACTTATAATTGGAGCCCCTGGCTGGCTGCATTCTTATGCGCAATCATTTTATTAAAGTGATAATACAAGCGCTCCATATTAAATGGTACTCCAACTTTTTACTCAATTTTAAGAATCCAGTTTGCATAAAAGAGCAATGGAAATATTTCCAAGAACTGATATATATGGAGACAATAACAGATCTGTTATAACGTTTTGGAGAATATGCTGATAACAAACCATGAAAAAGAAATAGTAGTAATAATAATGTGCCGAGGGAGACACATAAACATGAAAAAATGATTTTTAAGCTTATAAAAAAAAACTTGTCCAACAAAACATATTGGTAAAAACCAAGGTCCAAAAGTACTGAAGTGTGCTTAGTACAATATCAAGTGCTTCCCACAAAAAATATACATGACAAATAATGATTCTTAAGCTTATAAACAAAAACTTCTTCAGAAAAACATATTGGTAAGAACCAAGGTCCAAAAGTACTGAAGTGTTTAGTACAATCTGAAGTGCTTCCCACAAAAAAATACATGATAAATCACATTTCATTTGTCCGTCAAATACCACTGGCACCAATCCATCTTCTCTGCATAAGGTAGCCCATAAAAGATCAACAACTCGCTCTGAGTTTTTCCCATTTTTTCCATCAGCTTATATTTCATCCCTCTAGTCATACCTTAGAGCTGATCTAGTGCAGTTGGGAGATGTGATGTTTTATCTGCTATGTCTATCTCTACTCTTGACATCTCCAAGCCTGCTTTTTCTAGTCGGATAGAAGCTGCCTCCATACAAGCTGAAAATGTATCAATGTTTGGTCCAGGCTTAAGCTTCTTCTTACAATGACTTGCTTGTGCTGTGTTATCAGACATTCCTTTTCTCTTTGATGAGTTTCGTTTGTCAACACCATAAATTGTGGAGTCATCTATCTCTTCCGTGACTGTTTGAACACTCGAATAAAACCCCATATCTCCAAGCATATCTTCGCACTCCATTCCAGTATGCCCAGTAGCTCGATCTATAGAGTATATGGTGCAGAAGTCCTCATAATACCATAAAATTTTTCTTCTTATATTGGCAGCTTTAGGTTTGGCCTGAAAGATATTAAAACTTCATATAGCTCAGTACTTCATATATCATTACTTTTCTATTTATAGACAACTAAGATAAAAAAAAACGATAGAGGGGGGAGTGGAGGAAAACGAAGTAAAACATTTCAATATACACATATCAATCAATTTAGAGTTCTTTGTGCGAAAGCAGTTTGCCACAAAAAAAGTATCACATGATCTTGACAAAAATTGTGCAATTCGTGATAAATTAGTGTTAGACCATTGGAATTTTGTAATACAATACTCTTTCCATCCCACTAGACTTTGCTAATTTTTCTTTTTGTTTGTCCCAAAATATTTTGTCACTTTCCTTTTAAAGCAATAAGCTTGTGGCTCTGTTCATATCTCTCTCTCCTCTACACAAACCTAAGCCAGACAGTTCTTACTATTTTAATTTCACACCATCAACTTGGCAAAGTTGAGCGCGACGAAGTTAGTATGATAAAAGTTTGAAATTGTAGTATTATATTTTAAATAAGTACCAACAAATTTTGTGCTACAACTGGGGATGGACCAGTCCCGGTTCGAGATCGGGTCCGGTCGGACTTAGGGCGGGCCCGGGCCTGGGAAATGGAGGCCCGGTACAGGCCTGGCTATGTTCCGAGACCGGACCGGGCCCGGTTCGGGTCGAGTACTATATTTTTTTGGGGAGTTTTGCTTATTAATTCTAACCTCCACCCCCAAACACCCCCAAACCACCCAGTTCAACTCGCCTCTTACCCAAACCAGTCGAAACACCCCAAAAACAAAACAAAAAATGGGCCCGGGCCGGTTCCAAGGAAGCTGCAGCCCGAGCCCGCCCCCAAAACAACCCCTGGTCAGGTCGTAAGCCCGGCCCCGGTCCGGGCCGGTCCCGAACAGAGGCGGTCCGGGGCCGGGGCCGGTCAGACCGGTCCCGGGCCACCCCTAGCTACAACGTGTAGCGTTGGATGTGATCCTAGTTCAGAACCGAAATCCCATCCGATTTATAGTATGAAACATATCAAGAATTTCAATCCAAAATCAGAAACGGTGCAAGGACGATTCATTTCTAATCCAAAATGTCTTTCTATAAAAAAAAGCCTTATAATACTGTTTAGAATTGTATTAAATGAGTTCAAAACTAGACTTATAATTCAAAAATGTAAAGTACTTGAAAACTACATTGAATAATATATTTTCGATTACAAATAATAATCTGCACGTACTAAACATAATAGACCAATGACAATTCGACCCGACCCAAACTGTTTCCACCTATGCGGCAGTTCCCCTCCTTAAGAAAACTTATGGATTCGCCATGAGTAACTAACTCTTTTTAACCGAACACATACATTAACATTAATCACTGTTCACTGTGGTTACTTAAGCCAAACAACACAAAACACAAAAACACCGTTGTTGCCACTCCATAAATTCTGAATCCCCAAATTCTTTCCATTTTCCGTATAATTTGTTATTCACTTTTCACCCGATCTTTAAAAAAGCATCAAATCATTATCGACCTAATTTCAAGATCTTGTACATCAGTTGAGCCTCTTGTGAATGTCCCCCATTTCACTCCTAATCTTCATTTTTTCTTCCTAGTTTCCGTTGGTTGTACCTCATGCTTAGAGTGGACAAAATCTAGATTATCTGAAATTGTTAATGGATTAACAAACCAGAAGAATTTATTAATCTGGTACCAATCTGGAATCCAAACCGGCTAACCCGAAACCAAACCAAAACCAACACGTTCTCAGTTCTCAAAACCTCGATTTTGTGCATGACAGAATCATCTATTTTAGATTGAGAAAGATGGAACTTTAGTTTCTCATAGGGATGGAATGTTTTATTGGAGTGTTAAGGTTTCCACTCCCACAATTCCACTTTTTTTTTAAAAATCAAATAATCATTTGATTGATAATCAGTTCTTAACAAGAAAAATAACGACTAAAAGCCGAATCATTACAATCATAGCGTTCAATACTACACTAGGGTGAGACAAAGAACAAAAACGCCATATAAAAGCACTCATGTTCGCTAACCCTGCAACAATGTGGACTCGTACCGCATTGTGTCTGCTCATGCTATTCGAAATGGGTTCGACTTGACCAACCACTAAAAATGAATTATTGAACTTGCCAGTTTTTCCAGCCACCGGTAAGGAGCCAAGTGCAGAAATTGTTCCGGTTTGACCAGCCACCGGAAAGAAAGCAATACATCCAATATCATCTTCCTGGATCGGCGGTGGTTCAGGAGGGGGACGATCGGCCTCTATATCGATGCAGAAGAAGTCCTCATTCATTATTGATAAAGAAACCAATACAAACCTCTTACTAGCACACAAGAACACCCGACCGATGATGACGGAGAATATAGATCTGGCGGGCGACACTTCACCACCAAAAATAATATCTCTAGACAACGCTAGGAAATAAACGTATAGATAGAACTGAAAATACTGATTAAACGAATCGTTTTCCATGATTGAAGTCAAAAGAAGGAAGAAAGAGGAGGAGGAGGCTAGGGTTTCCCTTCGCCGCTCCTCTCTCCCCTCGTTAGAAACCTTAGCATGTGACACGGAGGATTAGTTGATACACCCCCACAGTTCCACTTATAAAAACAATAATTCCATTTCAGGGATTGCAACTTACGTTGTTTCAAAGTGGGGATATATTTGCTTTCCAATTGCCTTTCTAGCAATCTAGCCTAGGGATGGACCCGGGCCGGTCCGGTTCCGGTTCCGGGCCGGGCCCGGGCGGGCTTTTTTTCGGGTTACATGGGCCCGGAACCGGCCCGGGTTGATACCGGGTCCGGGCCTAACCGGGCCGGGCCGGGCCCGGTTCAATGTTTTTTTTTTTTTTGACTTTCTTATCTCCCTACCCCCCCCCCTCACCCCCACACCCCAAACCTCCCTAAAACACCCAGCCCTACCCTAGGAAAAGAAAAACAATTGAAAAAACCAAAAAATAAAATAAAAATGAACCGGGCCCGGCCCGAACCGCCCGGGCCAGTTCAACAAAAATAGGGCCCGGAACCGGCCCGCCCGACCCGCCAACACGGGCTAAAAGCCCGGAACCGGCCAACCGGGCCCGGTCCGGTCCGGGCCCGCACAGTAGCGGGCCGGTCCGGTTCCGGGCCGGTTCGGCCCGGCCCAGTCCATCCCTAATCTAGCCCCACGGTAAAGAAATAAACCAGTACACTTGGAAATTCCTAGGCTTTCCAAAAAAGCACTGAACTTTAGACTTTAGTCACATATATAGATAGTTTTCCAAAAAACAAGGGTTTGTATACCAAACAAGGATAACAAGAAATAAGCATTGAACAATAAAACATACTCATTTTACAGAAAATCATGTGCTACTGCACACCATCCAAAACACTTCACCCTGAGATAATTTACAATTCTACAATAGCTGGAAATTACAAGTCCATTACCTTTCCGGCCTGCTGAAATTGAAACTCCGTATCGAAGTGAGAAATGAAACATGTGATTGGTTTACACACAAAAAGTGAGAATCACTTCTAGGACTCAGCAGCACCCACGCTTTGCTTCTTGCACATCAGCTTTAGAATTTCCAACTCCCTGTAGAACAACTTTTTCCCCGTTTGCTAGGTGACGGGCATCTTTATGTTGGAACTCTTGAGATTGCATAACCTTCCGGCTCAGAATGTTGTAAATTTCCTTCACAACCGTTTGAAATGCGGAACTTACATTTGAAGTGTCAAGAGCTGAAGTTTCTATAAAGAAGAGACCCTCTTCTTCAGCCAAGGCTTTGCCTTCATCAGTTGTCACCTCTCGGGCATCCTTGAGATCAGATTTGTTTCCAACAAGTATTGTAACTACATTCATATCTGAGTGGGCTGCTCAACAAGTCAACAAACACACAGATTAAAATCAAATGCAATATGCCTATTAATTTACAATCACTTGAATGACATATAAATTAGAGAATTGAAATGTGTGGTTCCATGGCTAAAAGATCACCCGTACAAAAGGAAGAGCACAATGTCTTACATACTTGTCAATTACTCCGTATTTCATATTCAGCAGAGGTGGGAAAATTTCTTCAAGATTCTCTCATGAGCAAATAGGTGTAAACCCGGGTCCTTGAAAGGGTGGAACTGGGACCGTAAGGGGTCTTGTTCCAGTTTGCTTCTCAGGACAACTACAGTCCGGTTCTCAGGTTGGTTTTGGACTGGTTTCAAAACCTATTTTAAAAAAATAAATAATAGGTGCGACCGTGCGAGCGGACCACTCTTGTGACTCTTGTCCTATCAAATAGAAAACAGATAGTTGTTGGGCCCGTCCTGGTATAGATTTCAGTTTGGATATATATTTTCTAGTATGGTCTATGGGAAAACAACCGTCTGATCCCTTTCCGGCCCACCTTCTCGAACCAGGTCTACACACCTCACATGTACTGTGCAATTTTGTCTAATAAAATTTTATATGCCCTTTCTTACAAAAAAATGAATGAAAAGCAATACTGGAGTGGATTATATTGCAGCTATTGCTCACAAGGTTAAGGTAAGCAAAGTATTCCGACACGCTATTTTTAATGAAAAATAATATTGGAGTACTTTTAGTTAGGCTTGCAAATAAACCAGCATAAATTCAAATATAAGGAAAAAGAAGTGTTAAAGTACTTACTTTGAAGTTCATTAAGCCATCGTTTGATACTATCAAAAGTCTTGCGTCTGCTGATGTCATAAACCAGAAGAGCACCAACAGCACCTCTATAGTATGCGGATGTGACAGCCCGAAACCGTTCCTGACCAGCTGTATCCCATATTTGGGCCTTAACTTCCTTTCCATTTACTTCCACCCTCTGTGTCTGGAATTCCACTCCAATAGTTGATTTTGAGTTCGGATAGAACTCATTTCGGGCAAATCTAGAAAGCAAATTTGACTTCCCAACAGCTGATTCGCCAATCAAAACAATCTTGAAAAGGTAATCTTCCAGTTGTTCATCTTCTGAATAAGACCCCATTCTTCCCTAAAATGGTGGATCCAAAACCAAACAGCCTCTTCCCTAAACGGACCACATTACACTCAACAGACAAAATCTAAATGGTAGGGCCGTGTGGGATCAAGGTAGCGAAGCTGTAAGTCCTGTGATGCAAAACTTGGAAGGCAAGGCAGGTATAATTAGGATAAAAGGCTTAAGCTTGACAAGGGAAGAAAAAAAGAATCACAGATCTGTTCTTACACAAATTAATGATAACCCAGAGGTAACTATTCCTACATAATACAGAATATAGATTAGGAATGTATAAAAATCCTATGAAGCCAAATGTGTAGCATGTGAGCAGCAGACCTTTTAATAATTGTTTCCTTACTCAATAAGTGTATAGGTTTTGAGTGGAAACCTTCAGCATTATGATACGGATATCTAGTTACACGAATTTACCAGGTGCTGAAAAAATAGCTCAGCATTTAACCAATACAGCCCCGCGCTGAAAATTCCCATACACATTGCTTGCAAGTTTCCTTAAGGTTTGTTTGGATGGAGGGTTTTGTTGGTGAAGGCTTTCTAAGGCTTAGTTTATACGCCTTGATAAAAAACAATGCTTATAAAATGAATGAAGAGTGATTGAAACAATGTTTTATCACAGATTATCTAATTTTTTCAATTTTGTAAAATCTCAAATATATACTACGTATTAAGTTATACACTTTCCCTCCCCTCTAAACCCCTCAGCAAACTACTCCCAAACGGATCCTTAATACCATCCAGGTACTCACTATCTTCAGTAAAGTCTATAATAAAAGCTTGGAAAATTCAACGCCACGAGTCTCAAAGGTTATGAGCTAGCAAGGATAACATCATTCAGTTAGTTCATGATATATTCAAGAAAAGCGGGATACACAATTCAAGACTCAGATTCTTTTGATATATACTTCCTCATCCCTTATAACTTTATCAAACTTGACCTACATGTGGAATAATAAAGTAAAAAATATGTAATTGAGATTTGCGTAGAGCAATGAGAAATAATATGAACCATAAATTAAGTACTTAAAAGGGGAGTGACAAACTTCTTTAGACAACCAAAAGAAAGTTGCTATATCTAAAGGCCTAAAAAGAAAAAAAAAAAAAGAGAATGCTTAACCTACAAATTCTGAACAAATAAAATGAAGAGCATTTGATATAATGACACATTTAAAAGAAATTTTGTACAGTTCCAAAATAGAGAAGATTCGGTTCGGTAAATTTCAAAAGGGGGCTATCAATAAACTAGTTCCAATGCTGATTAAACTCAATGGTTTTACACCTAATCACAGCATTTACCATCCAAAAGGGTTAAAGTAAAACTTTACATATTTCAGAAAATATAAAGGAGAATGCAACTACCCCCTACAATCACCACACTGGAGAGGGACAGAGGGGGTGGTCCTGTTTCTAAGTATACTTGTGGAATGTGATACAATTTGAAACTATTCTCTTCCAATTAACATCCTTTCATTATACTCCTTGTATGCCTTGTAACATTGTCAAGTTTCACCAGCAGGTGTAATAATAAAATAAAAACTATGTAATTGAGCTATATGCAGAGGAGACTGAAATAATAACCACTAATCACATGCTTTATGGGGAAAGTGACAAAGCTTTTGGGACATTCAAAAAAAGAAATTGTCAAAGTTATACGGGAAAGAGGTAGTAGGTTCAAGTAGCATAGTAAAACAACACTGTACAATTCAATAAAATAGAAAACATATAGATATATTTCTTACTATCTATGCGTCCAACTTATTTTGCCATTTACACTGTTCAAGTGATCAATGTAAATTCTTGTTAGTTTCTGATTTTGAGAATCAATTTTTTTATACTACCTCCGTTTTTAAATCAAAGTAACACTTTGATTTCACACTTATTAAGAAAAAGAGTTTACTGAGGGATAAATTTTACTATAGAGTACACTGTTTAACACTGTTTTGATATAGATTTGTTTGCCAAATAAGGAAGTGTGACTTTGTTTTGAAACATCCAAAAAAGGAAAGTGTGACTTTGATTTAGAAACGGAGGGAGTAATATTTACACAGTTTTTGCACTTAATTTTTTTAGTATAGTTTCAAAATATATAACTTTTCATTATTAGCACTAATTCAAACATTATTAGTGGAAAAATAACTTTATCACCAAATTAGTAAGCATGAGTCAATCCTCGTAAATTGTTATTGGCAAAGATTTTGGGACAAAAGTAGTATACCCTACATATTTTCCAATGATTGCCTATATCAGTGGTAAGAAAAGGCAAATTGCATGAATTAAAGTGATACAGCTAAGATGGGAACAAGAAAAAGTAAATAAAAAGCAAGAAAATAAAGTGATACAGCTAAGATACAACTAATTTCCATCTGATTAGGGTCAACCACGAACTAACATGTGCTCATAAACATTCTTTGACTTACAGTACTCTAAACAAAGCAACGACCATGGTCCATTGATTTGTTCAAATGCTTCTGAGAGTTACCATAAACGACATGCATCAGTTCATGAACGTTCATTTCAAGGGGAAAGTTTGCACAGTTCTACCTTAGCTAATATGCCGAATTGGTACACAGGAACCACTATCAAAGTCCCCTGTATCCATAAGTTATCGCAAAAGATGTTCCCTTTAATAGTATGAATTAGTGGTATTGAGAAGTGACTGAAAGAAAAGACAAGAATACGAATCAAGCACATTTTTCAGATAGTGACTCTCCATGTTTAATACAGTACTCCGTATAGTAAGCAGGCAAAAACTTTACTCTGTTATAGCAAAATCTAAGTAATGCCATTGCACTGAAAATCGTACTGGATCCAACAGCTAGCTTCTTATCACCAAATCTACCTATACCTAATCTATAAACATGAAAGGTCCGTTTGGAACGAGGAATTTGCTGGTTAAACAAAGTGGGGGAAGATAGGAAAGGATTTCAAGGAATGAAAATGGTCAGGAAAATTAATATTGTTTCAAATATGAACTCAGAAATTCATTTTTTATTTATTTATACTAAGCAGCCTAAGCATATAAAAAAAATTAGAAACACCATTTGTTTTTCGTATTTCTTTGCATCTTCTAAGGTAAATCCAAACACAAGAAAACAACTCTCCTTAGCATCTTGATTCTTATCCTACTATTTTACAGGGTCCAAACATAACCCAATGAAATAAAACTTTACTAAAAAGAAAAATGGTTTCATGTAGTTATTCTAAGATGGGAAGGCGGAGATTCACTACATGCTCTTTCAACTATTCTTATATAAGAAAAAAAGTACACTTGATAAGAAATCAAGATGGGATCCAAAAAGTATTGTATGTCGGTTCACTTTAAAGAAAGCATAAGTCATCTATAAAATTTTCAGTTTAGATGATGACTTAAATGGGCCAGTGAAGTGCGTGATTATGATATACTAAAACTCTCGACCACACTAGAAGTAGAGTCATAGTTAATCACAGAGCGGAGATGAAAGAAAAGGGACCTAAATAAGATTGCTCCACCAAAGCAGCTTCTATAATAATTCAATAATGGTGTCTTAGCTATGTATAAAGAAATTAAATACTCCGTACTACTAGCAATTTGGAGTAATAGCTTTCCAATAATGTCAACTATTCCTAGTATAACGTGAAATGGTGTCTACCTGTTTGTGTGATCACCAACAGAAAGAGAGCTTTTTGATCATCACAGAACAAAAATGCTTAAACTGGGGAATGTGACTTCACAAGCTAAATCATGACCCAGCTATGAACGAGAGATCACTTGTATAACAATCCCAGATATAACCCTCCACATTCAGAACGTCCCAACCCGAATTTATCCTCGTTTCGAGAAAAGGTAACAATAAACTGGAAACTTTCAAGTTTTCAGAAAACTGTGAAACATTTTGCTGTTCAAAAACAAAGCCAAATTCTTTTTCGGCAAACTAACAAATTAGGCGATACCCTCATGTGAAAAGTAGAAGGATATAAAAATTGGCGCATACCCACTAGTTGATTGATGGGTTGACACTTGTCCGTACTTGTCCGTGATCAATCTTTCTCAAGTATGCGATCAAATCAAAGCAGGTGGATCCCACTGTGTCTGTGTCAGATCAAAAGGGAAAATTGTCGAAAAAGGGATGAATTGCAGGGTGCGTTGGGAACTAAAACTGTTGTGGAGTTGAGAGGTTAGGGTTAGGTTTGAAGGTTTCGATGGAAGCAGTGGGGGAAAGAGATGGGATGACGGAATGGCTGCAACAGTATTTCAGCTGTTGCTGATTGCAATGGCAGTCAGAAAAGTGGACCAAAGCTAACAAAAATTGAAATGCTTCCAATTTCTTTCTAAATACTCTGAAATTGTACGCGTTAGCGCTGGTTTTCAAGATTCACTAAAATATTTGGAGCTTACACGCTGATTTTGAATCAAGTGAAACGAAGAAATCTGTTAAAAAAAATTGGGTGAAATGAAATGCCTAAACCTAATCGATTATGAAAAAATGGGTCATTCTTGGTGTACACAAGTTATACACAAAATGTGTATATTGTCTATGTACCCAGACAATTTGACATCAAATACTACCCATTTTTAAACGAATTGTCTGTATACACAGACAACTAGGGGATTTTGTGTACAACTTGTGTACAACTCATGTACACTAAGCATTTTCCATGAAAAAATATGTTCGAAATATATTTTATTAATAAAATAATTGAAAAGTTATATGGTGTATTAAAATAGCTAAGATAGTTATTTTAGGTAAATTCAGTCAATTTAATTAGAAGAGTAATTTTAATCTTACATGTTTTATTCTATTTGGCTTGTCAACCTTGTTAGCCATCTTTTTTACTGAAATGTAACTTTTGATTTCATTCGCTGAATTGTATAATAATCAAAATGAATAAGGTTAAAGTTATTTTTCTGATTGAATTGGCTGAGCTGAAGTTACCATAGACAACTATTTTAACTATTTTTTGTACTACTCCGTCCCGGTGGACTTTTCCAAGTGCAAAGTAGGTAAGAAATAAGAAAGTAAAAACTGTGTGGTTGTGATTTGTGCATAGGAGAGAGAAATATGTTGGACCACAAAATAGTTGCTTTATTAATTGAAAAGTAGCAAAAAATTTTGGGACAAACAAAAAGAGAAAGTTGTCAAAGTCCAATGGGACGGAAGAAGTATATAGTTTTCTTCATTTTATTAATAAAATACTTTTTGAATGTATTTTTTGCATAACTCAACACATTCAGTCAATTTAGCCGCTTCAGTCATAATTTCGCCAATTTCAGTAGATTCAACTAATTAAACCAATTTTGGTGTTATCAAACGGGCTTACCAAATCAAAAATTATGTATTTCATAAAAAAAATTGACTTATAACACATAGAACTGGTTACCAAATAAACCCTTAAAATTGTGTCTTGGTTTGTCACTTGTGAGACTACAAAAAATGGTAGGGGTAGCTCAACTGATAGATAGGGGGTGCCACAAGAAGAGAGACTCGTGTTCGAATCATGACAACTGCGGTAAGATGTTACTATGTAAAAATGCATAAGATTTCTACAAGTACCTATGCCAGAGCCCCATCGTTATCTGTCAGTTTGTGAGTAATGTCAAATTTACATTCTCCCAGTTAACTGTGAAACCGATGCTAGGGGTTCAGGGATGGGGTGTCATCCTTGTCACTATAAGACTATATAAATAGTTGAATACACAATTGTCACAAAACAGTTAAGGGCATATTTCATCGATTAAGAGTTCATTTGATAATACTCAAATTGGGTGAATCAATGAAAGATTGAATTTTCGAGACACTTACTGCATCATCCCTAGGATGACACGCTTAATGAAAGACTAAATTTTTTTATCTTACAACCTTTAGGATGATTCCTCTTGACTTCCAGCGAGCCACAAGGTGATGGTCTTGCCATAGGCCAATGGCGCTCGGAAAGCCTAAGGGATAGGTCGAGAGACTAGAAACACCCTCGTCTCATGAGCGACTCCAAAAGTCATTGCCAAAACAATGCAATCATCACCTCCAAGGAGGACGAGACCAACATACAAGATATAGATTCTCAAAAAATTGTTGCTAAAACAATGCATCTATTGTGTCCATGAAGCGACAAGATGTTTTACGAAATATAAATCGCCAAAGAAGTTGTCACGACCACGCACCTAAACCTAAGGGTCACCATCGACTGTACATGGAACTAGACCTGAAAGCAGCCAACTGGACACTTAAGTCACCGAGACGCTTACTACCTTGTCCAAAAGTAATAGAGAGTTCTGTTTTCATCAAAAAGTCGTTGCCACGACAACACTACTGAACCTAAGGGGGATCTCGGTTGCACACGACACTAGACCTGAGATGGCTGATAACACCTTAATAAGTGAGAGACGCTTACTATCCTTAACTGGACACTTAAGTCACCGAGACGCTTACTACCTTGTCCAAAAGTAATAGAGAGTTCTGTTTTCATCAAAAAGTCGTTGCCACGACAACACTACTGAACCTAAGGGGGATCTCGGTTGCACACGACACTAGACCTAAGATGGCTGATAACACCTTAATAAGTGAGAGACTTATCGCACTGTCCTATCCTTACGAGAGATGATAGGCATGTAATGGTAGCTTCCCAAGGTCTTTGTGCGACCAACCCAACAAGGTCCAGTCCCTGACAACGCCAAATCCGGGAACATCTAAGTGCCTGGGGAAAGGGCGTGACACTTAAATGACCATGACACTATATTGATAGTAAGTTTTATTTTAGTAATATTTGAGAAATAAGATTTGTTTTAGTAAATATTTCGAACAAAATCAAATCATATTAGTGTTTAATGAAAAGTTTATTTTTTTTACTGAGCAAATGTAAAGCTATCTAAGTCATCAATCTCGGTTACTGCAAAAACATATGTTGATACTAGGAACATGGGATATGTGTCAAGCGACGACCGATTTTATGATTAAATGATTGTGTGAGTCTACTACTTAACTACTTAAGCGCATTAAGTCAATGTAAACATTCCTAAATCGTCCTATCTGAGAAATACAATAAGGTGACAACTCCGATACCTTTCAAAAAACAGAGGTATTATACCTAGCATTCATTTGATTGGACCACATCACTTTATCAATTTTAATTAGGTAAGAAACATTTAACCTTGAAGTTGAATTACCGAAAAGAAAACCTTGGAATTGAATTACTCATTTTGCTTTTGTATTGATTGAATTGCTTTTGCTCTTTCCTTTTCTTTTGAATTACACAAAGTGTCTATTTATATGGATTTCATTTATATATTGGTTTGGATGATACAAAATTATTGCATCTTTATTTTTTGCAAAAACAGAGATAAAATATTTCTAATCAAAACTATACAAAAATATGTTAAATCATGTTGCCATGTTGGACGAGTATAGAACTCCTAAAAATATGGGTTTTTCATTTTTCAAAAAAATTATGTGTACACCTTCAGCACACATTCACACCCTATATATACTAAAATTTTATGTAGATTCTTATTATGATTTACCCCTCCCACGTGCTTTTGAGCCCCCTCCCTCTTCTTCCCTTTTGTATCTCACATCTCTATTCTTTTTTTATGTAGAAGACAACGAACGAACGAACATACAACATCGACGGGAATCATCTGCTGGCATGGATATTTCTGCTTGTTATTTGACGCTAGTCATGAATACATATTTATGTCTAACAAACGCCAAATGAAAAATATTAGGGAACACAGACAACAACTATACAAGGTATAAACAACCACCAACTCATGGACACATGACAAAAATATAACAAAGAAGTTTAAACACCCCACAGACAATAGTATGAAGCGCAAAACACACCAAAACATTATCTACACAAACATTACGTTTTGCTCCACAAACAACTTAACAAAGATGTGTAAACATCTCACATAAAACTTTTATGAGAGAATTTCCAAAATAAGACTAAAAGAAAGTAGAATTGCAAAAATAGGACTACTATGTTTTATTGAACAAAAATAGGACTAAAAGGGTTAATCCGATAAAACTACCCTTAATGATCTCAACTAGTATGTTCGCACCGCTGATTCATCGATCAAGCCACTGCACTCATCCTCCTGCACATTTCATTTCGGCTTTGTACCCTACTTTTTTTTTCAATAAAATCAGCTTTTCTAAAAAAAATTGTTTTTTAAAGAAAAAATTGGTTTTCATCAAATCTGAAAGTTTCAAATCCAAAAAATTACTTAAAATTTGAAAAGTTAGTGAATGAATATAAAACACAGAAAACAGAGTGCAGGAGGTGGAAGAAGAATAAGAAGAAAAGAGGAAGAGGAAGACCTGATTTTGCCGGAGGAACCATTGAAGTGGCGGCAGCCGGCATGGAGCAAACGGCTGAGATTTTCGTGGTCGGGATCGGTCGATTTCCCTCAAGCTGCGTCCATGGCAACTGAGTCAGAAGGGAAGGCTGGTTGTAATCGCAAGTGTGCAGCGATCCATGGCAGAGGATCGGGGAATGCGATTTTGGGATAAAGGGTAAAAGAGTAATCTGAAGTACTATTTAGGAAATTTAGAACTTCAAGTCCTATTTTGAAATTTTAGCTATGTTTTAGTCCTATTTGGATCAATTTCTTAACTTTTATCTGACACAGCTCCACTCAAACCGAATAACCAAACAAACGCTGCATTTAATTTCAAACACACATACAACTCAACTGAAGCCAAATAATCATTTATAACCAATTTTTTATTCTTACTTCTGATTTTATACTTTTTAACACACTTAAACCGAACCTAATGTACAAATTAACATCACCAAACGTAAATACATGAAAATGTAAAGGGACCGGGGGCGTAGCTCACCTGATAGGAAGGGAGTGCCACAAGGGAGAGGTCCCGGGTTCAACTCCAAGCAATGACTTGGGATGGAGCCTCACTCTCTTTCCATTAGAGTGAGATCAAAACTCAATTTACATTCTCCCAGCTAGCTGTCCAGTCGGTGCTAGGGGGCCTCAAGGATGGAGTGTCATCTTTTTTTATGAAAATGTAAAGAGATAATTTGAGTTTGCATCCCATTTTTAAAAATCTTTGTTTTTGCACCCCAACCCCATGTGAAAAGACAAAAATGTCTCTCCATTAACAATTCAGTTGGCCTTCAACATATTCCTAATTGAGGGGCATTTTTGTCTTTTCACATGGGGCTACTGTGCAAAAACAAAGATTTTAAAAAAACGGGGTGCAAATACTAATTTGGACAATAATATGGGGTGCAAACTCAAATTACCCCAAATGTAAACATAATTACAACCATCATAAACTCAAATTCAGAGCCTGTTTAGTAGCAGCAAAATCGGCTGATTTGGCTGATTCTGTTGAAATTTATAAAGTTGTGGCTGAAGTGGCTGCATTGGCTGATTCTGCTGATTTAAGAAAAAACTATTTTTAAAATATATTTTAT